GAGATGGCAATTTTCCACCCGAATCTACCGTCTCCAAGCCTTCGCCGTCCAATCCCCGCTAACGATGATGAATCCCTCCAGATTTTGCTATCCATGCCGTCGCATCGAGGAAGAGCAAATACGGCGGCCAACCCCGGTGATTCGCGGAAGGGAGTTGGAGGGTCAATTAAACCAAAAAAGCACCGATCAAGGTGAAATTCAGCCTGCATGCTTGTTTTATTTTGATCTTCGCCGATGTTCTAAATTCTGATTTCTTTTCTCTTGGGTTTTCTGGCAAAACTGGTCGGCGGTGGAGATGGAGCAGTGGCCGCGGTGCGGAGGCGGACAAGTCCCAACTAGTCAACGATGTTTCATTGTCAAAACCTACCGTCGGTAGGATAAAAATTGGCCGGTATTTCGCGGCAGACTGGTTCAACCTAAAAAGTCGGCCGATACGATATTTAAGCCACTAAACACATACCGTTTCGTTTATGGTTTTTCCGGTCGAACCGGCCGGTACGATCCGGTTTCTTGTTCCATGTTCTAGATACGCATCCAGTCAGTAGAAGTGTATATCCCAAATATTGGTAACTTCCAGCTGTAGTTGGATGTCCAATACCAATTCCGTTAATTAGATCTCGACCCAAAACTGTTGTTGTCAGTAGACGGGCCTGGAGAGTGAAGACTTGCGCAACGCTTATAGAGCAGAGTCTAGGGGGAGACGATCTTTGTTCTCCGATTCTTGCTGTGCCTGTCCTCCTTCGTTATGCGCTCCGCAAGCAAGCACACTATCACTGCCGCTACGGCTAAGGTTCCCGCCGGAAAGCGCTGCATTGCGCTCCAGAATCCAGGTACCGATTATTCCATCTTGCCCTCGGTTAGGACTACAGAAGCAGAATCAGACGGTGAATTGCCTTTGGATGTTGTAGTTGGGGTTCTGTCTCGGCTGCCGGTGAAAACCCTATTCCGGTTCAAGTCCGTCTCCACCAATTGGGACGCCATGATCAGGGCCGTCCCATGATAGTCGGAGGCCCTGTTCGACAATTTAAAATGTGGCCCCGAACTCTTTTCTCGTAAATTATTATAAATAATAATTATTAAATTATAATAAAAATTACAAAAATTTATAAAATGATTACAAAAGTAATAACATTATCTATCATTGTTCAAAAATTAACAATGGTTATTATTATTTGAAATAAAATCTTCTACTAGCCCATTCATCTTCTTTATATCTTTTGAAAACAAAATCAATCCATTTATTTCTAAAATAGCATCATCAATAATCATATCTTTGGATTGTAAATGTTTACCAATTGAATTTGTTGAGTGCAATATTTCATATCAAATAACTAATGAAACAATAAACTCAAAATCACAAAGTACATTCTGTGCCAAATATTATTAACTTCACTTCTAATTTTCGAATCGCCATCAAGATCAACTACTAGTATCCAGACTCCTCAATTCTCTGTTTTCTTTTACGCTTAGAACTACCTTTTTCAAAATTTTGGGTTGACATAATTAAAAATTATCAACAAAGATTAAATAACGCCAAATTTCCAATTTCCCTGCAAAAGAAAAAAGGTTAGAAACTTGATTAGGAGCCTGGATAGTAGGAATGTACATTGATTAGGAGTTAATTACAATTGGGTGTGAATAATTAATATTTAGACGTTGGATGGTTTTGGAAAGTTGATAAATTTTGGAGAAAGAGAAGAAGAGAGGCGTTAATTATTCAATTATTACTTTCAAATTCATAAAACAACTCCTACCTTAGTGGATGAATCTCTTTTCAATAAGGAAGAGGTGCATGGTTCGATTCCCTTCCCTGCTAGTAGTTGGTGTTGTTTTGCGGCTCCCCTATGAGACCTAGATGGGCTCTATCCCACCTCCGTGCGGGCCCTGCCAGCCCAAGGAGCTGCGGCTCCGGTATGAGGCCCATGTTGGCCTAATCCCGCCTACAGACCAGTGTCCATGAAACCGTACCGTACCGGCGGTTCAACCACGAAATACCAGTATCGGAGGCTAAACCGATATAACGGTTGAACTACGATTAAATCACGGTTTTACCATAAAATACCCTACCATCTGCGGTACGATTTCATGGATCATGCTATAAACTTCTGAATTCTAAGGCACTAAAATATTGAGGCCCTGTGCTGTGGATCTGACCAGCACAGGGTCTGGACCGGGCCTGGCCATGATTCCGTCCGACCCGTACCTTGTCTCGCTACACCTCAAAAACTACACCAATAACCCCGCCACCACGGACTCCCTAATATGCAACTACTTTGAACACTTAAACAATACATATTGTCGCCGATCAGTTTCACTTTGCCCCAATGGTCAACGGCCCATCAATTTGGGACAGCAGCTGCTTGCTTGAGAGTGTCGTCTATGGTGGAGGCGGCAGCGGCCTGTTTCTTCTCGCCAACCCACTTCGCTGCCATCCCGATTACCTTTTATGGAACCCTGCAACTCGAGAAATCAAACTCATTCCCGGCCCCCCGTCTTCGGTACCTTCTAGCTAGCTCCCACTTGGAACCACCATTCAGACCATGGCATTTCTCCGAATGCTGGGGACTTGGGCTAGATTTAGTTGCTCGTGATATCAAGGTCGTTGTGATTCGTAGTTATGTTCATGTTTCCGTCGGCGAACAGTTGCCTATCTTGTCTTTGCCTGTGTCTGTGTATTCATTACGCAGCAATTGTTGGAAGGAGTTATTAGTAAGCTACCCACGTCAGGGATCAACTGATGGGCACAGGTTGTACTGCCCTACGTACTTCAAGGGTTTCTTCCATTGGATCTTTAGGAGCTGTAACGAGGAATGTGTAGTGGCATTTGATATGGGAAGCGACTCCTTTCACAAGATCGACTACCCTTGTGATGCCCCCGGTTGGCATTGTAACCTTAGCATATATCGCTTTGTTTGAGCAGCACATGAACGTATTAAGTGTTGATGTATGGCTGCTTAGAAGTAGCAGCAGCAATGGGCAATATTGGTGTTGGATCAAACATTCGATTCTCGGTCCTTTCTCCGACGGTTTATTGTTGAAGGGATTCTGGAACGATGATCAACTCATCGCTCAAAGGCCACATGATGAGGCCGAGAGTCAACTAGTGCTATTTGATATCGGTAGTAAGAACGTAGAAGTTCTGGTGCACAATTGCTTTCTGTTGAGGGACTGGTATATTTACAAAGATGCTTTGGTATGCATCAATGGGGAGATACAAGTTTGATCAAAGCATATGGATCTAAGATATACTTATATCTTGTACGTATGCTAGAGACTTGCTTGTTTTTTTTTTGTTTTGTTTGTATGGAACTTAGGAAAAGAAGGATGTGGTTCTAGTTTCTCATGTGAATTTGCATATGATTTTATTTGTTCTTGGATCAGATTGAATTTCGATAGTATTGTTGACTTTTATGATATAGTTCAATACTACAATTCCCGGTTGGTACCTAAGCTCAATCCACTTGAATTCAAGTCGAAATGTATGGTTGCTAGAGTTAGGTGTGTACATTGGTGCGGTCCGATTGCACCGAACCATATATGCAGTCAAACCGGATCGCACCAACAAGGTTGCGGTTTAACAATGCAATATACATCTTATGCTCTGAAACGACGGTTGCGAGCTGCCGACTACACTTCCACCGCCGCCGCAGCTCTCCTAATTAGTAATTACATCGCTCGGCCCACCACCTCTATCATTATTCCGAGGCTGTTGACGTTGTTGCCACCGCCATTGTCTAAGTTGGAAGGAAAATAAACTTATCGCATGAACACCATCTACAGATCAACAACCACTAATATTATATGATTCCGGTAGTCAAGAGCATAAATTTTGATACATACTTTCGGAATGAGCTACTTGCATTTTTCACAAAATAAACAAAAGGATTAAATTTCCCTTTCAATCATCATATATCTTGCTTAATCAGATCAATTTCTTCGACTAATGTGACCGATGTAACAATCGAATTCTCCTTGTTCGTAGTAGTTCTGAGTAGGATGTTCAACGTCCGGAGAAGGCCTCCAAGAGAATCATTCCCAATCTATCCCCGGTCGGCACGCGACGACCCGTTCTCACCACAGGACCAGCTCGAGCAATTTGCCTACATGTTATGGACAAATGCATGTGAGAAAATGTGAATACACATGTTGCCTTTATTTTGAAGTTATGGTAGCATGCAGAAGCTTTCAACTCAAGTTGACGAGGGCCAACTATTCCATGTTGGTAGCAAGGAGAATGAAGCGGCGCACACGATGATTAGATGGGATGTAACGGATGTATGGTTTGATAGGCTTCCACTGAAACTGATCGATCAGCTTGTAATTGATGATGTAACGTCAATTGTTTCTTAATAAAAGCGGAAACAGATTCCAATAATAAAAAAAGGGGTAAATGACACATTTGGTCACTGAGATTACTAAATCGTGTCATATTTGGTCACTAGAAAAATTTAATATCAATTTTGGTCACTTGAATTACTGACACATGTCACATTTGGTCACTCTTCTGTAGCCTCTGTCCAACTCCGATCACTCGAATTATTGAAAAATGTCACATTTAGTCACTCGGATTACTGAAACATGTCACATTTAGTCACTCTCCCAAAAGTTTCCGTCCAACTACATTAATGGAGTTGGACGGAAACTGGCGGGAGAGTGATTAAATTTGACCAGTTTCGGTAATTCGAGTGACCAAAATTGATATTAATTTTTTCTAGTGACTATACATGACACAATTTAGTAATCTCAGTGACCAAATGTGTCATTTACCCAAAAAAAAAATGTTAATGGAGCTTGGATGGTGAACTTACTGGTCCAATATAGACGAGGAAAATGATTCTCTTAGTGGGCTTTAGCCCAAACTGTTATCGAGGGAGACTAGCTAGCTAACGCAACACCTATACATAAAACGGGGAAAAAGGAACAGAGAACGCCCGAAAGATAGAGGTCAGTCGGGCGGCGGCCGGAGACGATCTTTTGTTTTTCTGCTATCTTCCGTCGCCATGGTCTCAATAACCAAGCGGACGAACACCGCCGCCAAGGACAAGGGTCCCACCCGCAAGCGCCGCCGGGTACCCAATGAATTAGAATTAGCAGTACTTGGTGGTGACGAATTGCCTTTCGATGTCGTGATCGATATTCTGTCTCGCCTACCAGTGAAAACCCTAATCCGATTCAAGTCCGTCTGCAACGACTGGGCCGCCATGATCACCAACAACCCACACTTCGTCTCCATGCACCTCAAAAACTACACCATTCACTCCCTCTTGTGCACTTACTCTAGCCCCTCTTGGTATACTCACCGATCGATCTCACTCTGCCCCGAACCCAAACCCGGTCAGCGGCGGCTGATCCATCAGGGCAAGCAGGTCGCCGAGGATGTCATCTGCGGCGGTGGGGAAAGCGGTCTCTTTCTTCTCGGCAATCCATATACGCCCCATCCTAATTACCGTCTGTGGAGCCCGGCAACTCGCAAAATCAAGCTTCTCCCAGAACCTCCCTTGGCGCCCCCAATTAGCTACCCTCTGGGGCCGAAATCGAAATCGCCAGTCTACGCACGGCATTTCTGCGATTACTGTGGAGTCGGCAAAGATCTAGTTGCTAATGATGTCAAGGTCGTTCTGATTCGTAAATATATTTGTCAGCAGGATGCTAATGGCTACAAAATCGTCGCTTCCTCTGCCTTCCCTACACCAGTTTTCGTGTACACACTGCGCAGCAATTGTTAACAACGAAGTGGTACAGAAGATTGAACCCTAAAACTTGAGCATTTCATTACAATCTCTGGCCTTTATAGGCAGAGCATTACAGGAAGAAGACAAGCAAAGTTTGCTGTTTGTTTTGAAGCTTGGAAGGGAAACAAGACAGCCTTGGGTGAAAAGTAAACAACGACTGAAAAGGAAAGAAGAAACGGTGACGTTCCGAGAGGATGGCTTCTCCTTCAGCAGCACAGAAACGGCGGCGTTCCACTTAAGCTCCCTGTCTCGTGTCGAAACGTTGTCGTAGAGAAATCTGATCGTTGGAAATGAATTTTCCTTCTGTTACCCCCCCGCAAGCTGGTGGGCAAAGATTGCGCACACCAAGCTTGGAGAGCAGTGTCTGAAATGGAGCGGGAGACAGGGGTTTGGTGAACAAATCGGCCAATTGGTGAGCTGAGGAGATATGAAGAAGCTTCAGAGTCCCTGATTGTGTCTTCTCTCGAACAAAGTGGCAGTCCAGTTCGATGTGTTTGGTTCTTTCGTGGAAGGTTGGGTTTTTGGCAATGTGGATGGCGCTCTGGTTGTCGCAATATAGAGTTGCTGGAGCTGTGGAAGAGGCTTGGAAATCGGCCAGAAGGTATTGCAGCCACTGTATTTCACAAGCCGTTTGGGCGAGGGCCCTGTATTCGGCTTCACATGATGATCTAGACACTGTTCTTTGCTTTTTACTTTTCCAGGAGATCAAAGAGTCACCAACATAGATGCAAAAACCAGTAGTCGATCTTCTGGTGTCAACACAGGCTGCCCAATCGGAGTCAGCAAAGGCCTTGAGTTGAAATGTGCCTGTGGAGGGAAAACCACTGTCTAGATGCTTGTTTTAAGCCATATAAAGACTTTTTTAGTTTGCAGACTGGGTTGGGAATACCAGGTGGGGGAGTATACCCTTTTGGTAGGGTCATATAAACCTCTTCTTGCAAATCTCCATGGAGAAATGCATTGTTCACATCAAGTTGGTGAACATGCCAATTTCTCATGGCAGCAATTGCAAGAAAGGTTCTGACAGTTGTCATTTTGATTACAGGAGCAAAAGTGTCCTGATAATCAATGCCCTCTTGTTGAGTGTTGCCTTTGGCAACTAGTCTTGCCTTGTGTCTCTCCAAAGAACCATCAGAGAGGAATTTATCCTTGTAGATCCATTTGTTGCTGATAGGTTTCACCCCTTTAGGTAAACTGACCACATCCCAAGTATGGTTTTTGAGTAAAGCTTGAATTTCAAGCTGCATTGCACTGTTCCAGATTTCATGTTGTGAAGCCTCTTGGTAAGATTGGGGTTCATGATGACTTGAAATGTTGAGAAGAAATTTTTTGTGAGCAGGTGAAAGTTTGTCATATGACAGGAAGGAAGGGAAAGAATACCTGGAACCTTGGTTCTGTTGCAGACTTGAGTGACTGGTTCTGCTTGGACCCTGTGATAAAAAACAATGGTAATTTTTGACAAGATGGGGGAGGGGGTTTGGATTGTCTGTCTGAACGTCTGACTGGTTGGACTGGTGGGGGAGGTGGTGGGGATGGTATATTTGGAGAGGTGGGTGGTGAAGGCAGTGGGCTGGTAGGTGGGGAAGGAGTGATATCTGGAAGAGTTGTATCAGCAGGTGAGTCTGCAGCTGGGGAAGGAGATGGAGGTGGTAAAGGAGAAGATGGTGAAGGATCATGAATGAGGCTGTTGTTTGAATTTGGGATTGGGAAGAGAAAATCTGGATGAGGACTAGAATCATGGTCAGGAGAGGAATTTTTGTATGGGAAATAGGACTCATAGAAAATGACATCTCTAGATAAGAAAACCTCATGGGAGGTGATGTCATACAGTTTGTAACCTTTAATCCCAGGGGCATAACCAATGAAGATAGCTTTTCTTGCCCTTGGTTGAAATTTGGTTCTGTGGCTGGCTAGTGTACTGGCATAACACAGGCAGCAAAAAACCCTTAGATCAGTTAAGTCTGGCTGTTTGTTGTGAAGCATTTGAAAGGGAGTTTGGTTCGAGAGAATGGGAGTTGGAACACGATTGATTAGGTAGACTGAGTGTTTGACACAGTCACCCCAGAAAGCAGGAGGAAGGGATGCTTGGAACTGAAGGGCTCTAGCAACAACAAGTATGTGCTTATGCTTCCTTTCTACTTTACTATTTTGCTGTGGTGTTTGGACACAGGACATTTCATGAACAATTCCTGTTTTGTGAAAGAAATCTTCCATTTGGAATTCCTTTCCTTGGTCACTTCTTATGATTTTGATTTTTGATTGGAATTGTCTTTCCATCTGATTGCAGAAGGCAATTAGTTTAGGTCTTGCCTCTGATTTAAGTTGCAAAAGAATGATCCATGTCATTCGAGTGTAATCATCAACAACAGTTAGGAAGTATTTGAATCCATCATAAGTTGGGACAGAGTTGGGACCCCAGATGTCTACATGAAGAAGTTCAAAGGGGAAAGAAGTTACAGACTGACTGGTAGGAAAAGGGAGACGTTTTTGCTTAGCAAAATGACAGACATCACAAGGTTGATCTCTTAGAGTAGCAATGGAGGTACAAAATTGATTGAGTATGGGAATTTTGGAATGGGAGACATGCCCTAATCGAAAATGCCATAGGTCAAAGGTGGAGGTCGAGGCAGCTGAGATCAACTTAGGAAAAAGGGAAGCTTCAAGGTAATAAAGGCCATTGCAGAGTTTAGCAGAACCAATCACTCTCGTCTGCTTCAGATCCTGTATAAGACAAGTGGTGGAGTGAAAGGTTAAACACAATGAGTTCTTAGAAGTTAATCTGCTCACAGAGATAAGGTTGAAGGTGAAGTTTGGAACAAACAAGGCATCATGTAAGTGCAAGTCATCACTGCAGATGGCAGTTCCTGAATGTGTAGCTTGAATTTGTTCACCAGTAGGAAGGGTGATGAAAATATTGTGTAATGGTTGAGGGTCATGGAGGTAAGCTAAGGAGCACACAATGTGATCAGAGGCTCCTGTGTCAACAATCCATTTGGGAGGGTTTGTAGAAAAAGCATTCAATATGTGTGCTGGTGGATTTTGAGAAAAAGTAGTACCTGGTGTGGTCACATATGCAGCAGCAGAGAAAGAAGGTTGTGTCTTTGTGGAAGACATTAAGCTCATAAGTTTGTCATAATCCGACCTAGTGAGCTTGACTTCATCATTACTGGATGGAGTGCTGAGAAGAGCAGCTGTTGGTCTTGGTCTGGTAGGAGCAGTTGCTGAGGACCGAGGGACAAAATTAGCTGGATAACCATGCTTTTGAAAGCATTTGTCTTCAGAGTGACCTCTTCTTTTGCAATGGTTGCAGATAATAACAGTTCCGGATGTGGAGGCTTGAGGTCTGGACATGCCAGGTGGCCATCCATGCTTCTGAAAACAGATGTCCTCAGTGTGCCCCTCTCTTCTACAAAAGGTGCAGTAGGGTGGTTTGCTATTGGTAGAAGTCCTTCTGTTTCCTCCTTGAAAACCAAGAGCAGTGGATTCTGTCTGTGTGGATGCAACCATTTTACCAGTTTGTGTACCATAGATCTGTCTTTCATGCTGTAACATGCGTTGAAAGACCCTGTTGATTGTAGGTAGTTCCTCTCCAAATAGCACTTGAGCTCTAACAGTAGCATAATTATCATTTAACCCACGCAAGAACTTAATCACATAGCTGGTTTCATGATATTGCAGGACACGAGTCATGGCAGCACAGTCATGGTGACTAGTGGGGGTGCAAGTACATGGCAAAATGGGTTGGTAGTTCTCTAACTCATCACGAAGAGTGATGACATAGCCATAGTACTCAGTAATGGTACGATTACCTTGATGCAGAGTAGAAAGGGCTTCTTCAAGTTCAGCAATCCGAATCAAATCACCAGATCCATACCTTGTTTGTAGACTAGACCATGCTTCAGCTGCTGTTTTACTTGAGAGCATGGTTTTGCGAATCTCTGAGGAAGAAGCTTGCTGTATCCAAGAGAGCACCATGACATTGTTTCGAATCCAGGCGCCATGACGTGGATCTGTAACCTCTGGCTGTGGAATAGTGCCATTGATGAAGCCAACTTTGTTTTTAGCAGCAAGTGCATTGAGCATCGCCCTACTCCAGTCATTGTAGTTCGTAGCAGTAAGGGTTTCAGCGACAAGAAGAGATCCAGGTTGCTCGGAGCCATGGAGAAAGAAAGGGTCTGAGAGAGGGTCAAGAGGATTGGGGGCAGGCACATTTTGTTGCTCTGCCTGTTGTTGTTGAGCGGCTTGGTTGTCCGCCATTGAAAAGAAGAAGGGCGGCGGCTAGGGTTCTATCCCGGGCTCTGATACCATAACAACGAAGTGGTATAGAAGATTGAACCCTAAAACTTGAGCATTTCATTACAATCTCTGGCCTTTATAGGCAGAGCATTACAGGAAGAAGACAAGCAAAGTTTGCTGTTTGTTTTGAAGCTTGGAAGGGAAACAAGACAGCCTTGGGTGAAAAGTAAACAACGACTGAAAAGGAAAGAAGAAACGGTGACGTTCCGAGAGGATGGCTTCTCCTTCAGCAGCATAGAAACGGCGGCGTTCCACTTAAGCTCCCTGTCTCGTGTCGAAACGTTGTCGTAGAGAAATCTGACCGTTAGAAATGAATTTTCCTTCTGTTAGACGGAGTTGACAGCGGGAAGCTTCCCGTACCAGGAAGGACAGCAACACTTTGATTACCACATCTTGAATCGCCATGCTTACTCCGAGGGGATCTTCTACTGGGTTTTCGACAAGTATTTGATGGCATTTGATATGGGAAGCGATGTCTTCCACAGGATCGACTACCCTTTCGACTGGTCGTGGGATAAGTATACTCTCAGCACGTATCGGGATTCGATTGCTTTGTTTACCGGGGAGTTTGCTGATTGTTTGAGGCCGGTTGATGTGTGGTTGCTGAGGAGGAGGAACGGTGGTGGTGGTGGGGGAGAATGGGATTGGATCAGACATTCAATTCCTGGGCCTTTCTCTGGGAGGACAGTGGTGATGGGGTATTGGAAGGATGATCAGGTTATCGCTGAGACGTCGTCTGGTCAATTGGTCTTGCTTGATATATATGACGGCGGCCGCACGGTGAAAGTGTTGCTAGAGGATTACGAACCGGTGAATGGTTGGCATGTTTATAGAGAGTGTTTAGCTCCGAATCAAATGACGGTTGGATGTTTTCCCCCTCTTGAATACTAACCGATGATATCTGATTTGTTTGATTGCCTGATGCTTTATGTGTTTGATTCATGGTAAAGGAAACCGGATCGTATCGGCCGGTTGAAGGGGTAAAATCGGAAATTGGACCCTGGGCGATACGGTAGGTTATTGGTGGTAAGAAAATCGTGTCGTCCGGTTTTTCCGATTAAACCAGCACAATGCGAAATACCGCCCGGTTTTGATTTAATCGGGAGTAGGCTTATGAGAAGGGAACAACGTCGTTTTTGGCATAATTTTTTTTTTAAATCGGCCGAGGCCAATGCTCAAAACCCTAAACCAGCCAAACGAAAAAAGACTAAAAGAGTAGTCTTTCGTTTCCAGCGGCTGGCGACCAGGAAGGCAGGAACTCCCGTCGCGGCGTCACTCCTCTTCTCCTCTGGCGACCAGGAATCGCCGACCCTTCAGGCCGTGACCAGCGATCCTCGACCGCAAAGCCACTAGCGCTCTGCGCTCCACCGCTGCTCCTCCTCAGTCGGCGCGCCGCTCCTCTCTGCTCCTCCTCAGGTCAGCCGCGCCTCTCCCTCCCCTACTCAAGAAGAACGCACCGCCAAGTCAGCCTACAGCCAGCACGCCTCTCCCTCCCTTGCTCAAGAAGAACGCGCTGCCTAGGAAGACTGGTGACTGCTCAAGACAAGAACACGCCGGTATAGTTAAAAATTTTACCTTTTCGGTTGTTTAGTACTTTGAACGAAAAGGAAATGTTGTTTGGTTTGAGAATGTTTTTTGAACTTGTGGTTCGAGAATGTTGTTTGGTTGTTTTGTACTCGATCCTAAACATGCATTTGAACGATTATGTAGTTAATTCAGTAATGTTGCAATTTGTTGATTGTTATATTACATATGCCTATTTAGTTTATTCAGGTTTGTTATCCGGTATATTCCGGTATTACTCTGAAATGGTATCCTAAATCTGCTGATACGGTTTTTAACCAAAAAATATTTTTTAATTACAAAAATGGTATTTTGTCGTTACACAACGATTGAACCACAGTCGTATCACAAAATACCCTACCGCTGAAAGATCCGGTATGACCTCCGGTACTGTTTCCTTTACCATGGTTTGATTGAATCATATTTAGATGGTAGCACAAGTCCTGGCCTATAGGCTTTGAAAGTTCGATGGTTATATAATTTGCATATGTTATTATGTTGTCTATGTGTGTTTTGTTTGGTATTTGACCATGAACTATCTAGAAGAATACTCAAACTATTACTCCGAGCAGTGGTGGAGCCACATGTAGAGGAGAGGGGTCCCAGGACCCCACTTAGGGAAAAACGGGACAACAAAACTCTTTAGATATGTACGGTTTAGTATGATCTTTTATATTTAGGACCCCATACTTTTGTTGATGTTAGCTCATTTAAGGACACCAATCAACTCAAAGTTCATTGGATATATACTAAAACGTTTTAAAATTTTTAAGGACCCCAGTCAATTCAAATTCTGGCTACGCCACTGACTCCGAGTATGGTTATAATGTATTGAAAACATAAGAAAGACAAACTGACTAACAAAGAATGCAACTAATAGTGACATATATAATTATAAACAAAATATTGCCCACATAAAAGGCCCAAATGATAACACGAAAGTTGATTCTTATGATACATACATAATCATTTTCTTTGATGGAGTTCAATGTATCCATGCTTATTTTTCTCTAATTTTTTCTTGGCAAAATACACTTTTTTTTTTGACAAAAGATAATCAATAGATTGAAATCAATAGATCGTTACATCCTGGAATACAGCCAGGCGTGGAAATCAAACAAACGACAAGCAGTCGAGGACAAAGACAGGGCCTGTCTAGCTACCAAATGAGCTACCCTATTGTTCCGCCGACCTACAAATCGCACAGTCAACCCTATGTTGGAATAAAAAAAATTCAATATCTCCTCCAGGATGACTCCTATACTACTATCCCGAGTATCCCTCCGCCGAATCTTCTCAATTATCACCTGGGCGTCACCTTCAAACCTCATGGCAGTGAACCCGTTGGCCAAACACCAGCCAATCGCCTCCCGGAGGGCCAAAGCTTCCACCATCATTGGATCATCCATACACGGGAAGTGAACCCCCTTAGCAAGGATGATCTCTCTGCCAGAATTGAGTATAACCATCCCCCCTGCCGCATGCGAACCCAATCGCACCGCCCCATCCCACATACAAATCGCCATGTTATCTCCAGTCTGAGTTATGGGCGGGGCCGGGGGGCGAATAATCTGAGCAGGCAGGTCCCTGGGTAAACTAAGCCATTCCTGTAATTGCTGGTAGTACTGACGCATCAAGGCAGGGATACCGAACTGTTTACCTTCAAAAACCACCCAATTCCAGGAGCGCCAAATCCGCCACACAACCGCCACTACAGACATTACCAGAGCAGGGTTATGCACCATACTCAAGACATTCTTCAGAAAGAGGGGGAACGTATGGCGGGGCTATACACTTGCATAGCCATAAGTTTGCACTTTGTGACAATAATAGCCATTTTTTAAAAAATATACAGATATAGCCATTCCGTCAATAACTTTGACGACTCTATAGTAAATGCTGACTGGAATAACGTTTTTTTACGACGTGGCAATTCTTCGCCAAAAATCATGTCAGGTGGAAATTAGCAATTTTCTTTAAGTTTATTAAAAACCCCTAACTATTTTTCGCCCGTCCCTTTCACTTCTTCCCCTTCATCTTCTCTTGCGTCTTGTGTTGCATAACACTTCGCCTAATTTCCTTGTCGATTGAATTGAGCATCTAGCACAGGACAAGAGTGTTGGATGCATCCCAAAACCCATAAGTTGGTGGATATCCTACATCAGCCATGGGGCCATCCATCGATGAAACCAACTTTGTGTTTTGTTTTCAGGGGCATACGAATAGCCCTCTGCCACATTTGATAGTTTGGGCCATTTAGGTTCTTCGAGACAATCGACTGAGAAATGTTTTCATTTGGGTTGATGTAAAAGGGATTACCAAATTGAAGATCTCCTCGTCCATTGTCATTGTTATTGTTGTTGGTAGCGCCGCTTGACTGTGCATCAAACGAGCCGAAAGGAATGGCTCCGTTGTTTAGCTGAGTACGATGTGGCGGTGGAGTGTCCGCCATTGTAGATGACTAGATCTCGTCCAGCTCTGATACCATATAGAAAAACTTAGCAACTAGGGTTTGTAGGAAGAAGAAGGAACAAGATGGTATGAAATGGAACCCGCAAAGGAGCAAGGTTCTCTGCTCTCTAGTTTCTATATCACTGTCAAAAGCAATGAGTTTGTACAAACAGCAAAACTGGAAATGAAGATAAAGTGTAATTTAAATTAACATTAAATGATAGGCCAAGTGTCGCGTCTTCATTAGAGCATCTCCAACAATGCAATCCTTCTTCACTTTCAAGTGTGGTCCCTACTTTCACCTAAGCAACTCTAGCAATTACTTCACTCATCAATTTCATACTAGCTACATCAATGCCATTCCAATGCAATTGCACTTCTGGGTCCCACTTACATTTTAATACCACACAATGGTTGGGAAAAGAAGAAAGAAAAACAAAAACAAACAAAGGACCCACTTGCAATTGCATGTCAGATTTTCATGGTGTGCAAATTTTCATCCCTTGAAAGTGGTCTTGCATCAATGTCATCCACTTTTTCAATTGCACATGGCTGCCACCTAAGCTTGCAATTCCCTCCATTTGATAAAGGGCAGGTATAGTTAATGATCAGAGGCGCCAGAGGACGGTCGGGGAGAAGCTTGATTTCACGAGTTACCGGGCTCCACAAGCGATAATCAGGGTAGCGCCTACATGGATTGCCGAGAAGAAACAGGCCGTTTCCCCCGCCGCCACCGCAGATGACATCCTCGGCTACCTGCTTGCCCAGATTGATCAGCCGCCTTTGACCGGGTTCGGCTTCGAGGCTGAGTGAAATCGACCGGGGAGGATAGCGTGTTGGGCCCAAACACATTTAATCGTTTGGTGGCCTGGAGCTGGAAGTGAACTATGCAGAAACACAGTTAATCTTTATCACTTACAGGGTATCTGGACGATCATTCTCATGTGTGGATATCCAATTCCAATGACGAGAATCACTCTATTAACGGGCTTTGGGCCCAAACAGAGTTAATCGTCGGTGGCCTGGAAAAGTGAACTATGCAAAAAAAATAAAAAAATAAAATAAAATAATAAATACTGATTTGTTTCAGGGAGCGCAATCCGTGGCGGAAATCATCGACTCTACGCCGCGCCGTCGGCCTGAAATTCTTCTAACCTAATCCGCAGCGGCGGACCAATAATCGCTCTCTTCTTCTTGGTGCAGTATCCTTCCAGTATGGGAATAGAACTAGAATCAGTAGAATCTGGCGAATTGCCTCTGGATGTCGTGATCGGGATTCTGTCTCGAATTCCGGTGAAAACCCTTTTCCGATTCAAGTCCGTCTGCACAACTTGGGACGCCATGATTCCAACCAGTCCGTACCTCGTTTCCACGCACCTCAAAAACTACACCAGGGCCTCCCTCTTGTGCAGCTACCACGAGCGTGGCACGCGATTGGTTTCACTTTCCCCTGAAGATGATGATCCCGCCCAACCGCCGACCACTCTGGCTACCGGCGATCTCGCGAGGCTCGTCTGCGGCGCCGGCAACGGCGTGTTCCTTCTCGGTGGTCCGAATGTGTTCCAATCTGGTCATTACCACTTATGGAACCCAGCAACGCGAGAAATCAGGCAGCTTCCCGACCCACCTCTGGCTCTGGAGCTCGACCCATCTCATCCTCTGCATCACTATCTCTGGCACTACTCTGATTACTGTGGAATTGGGCTAACCGATGACGATATCAAAGTCGTTCTGATTCGTAACTATGTATATCGTGGTCCTCGTTACAATGTCCTCCCACCTGACCTCGGTTACCCCTCACCGGTTTTTGTGTATACATTGCGGAGTAACTGCTGGAGGGAGCTGCCCGAAAGGTATTCGTACCAGGAAAAGCGAGAATTGACCCACAGCATGTTCAGGTGGTGTACATACTTTGAAGGGTTTCTCTACCGTCTCTCTATGGATCGCCATGGGATTTTCGTGGTGGCGTTCGACATGGCGACTGATGTTTTCCACAAGATAACTTGTCCTTTCGGCGCTGCTTGTTGGAGCTGCAATCTTAGCGTGTACGGTGATTCGTCGATTGCTCTGTTTCGGCAGTTGGATAGTTTGAGTGTGGAAGTGTGGCTGCTGAGTAGAAGTGGTGGGGGATGGTATTGGATGAAGCATTCAAGCCTCGACCCTCTCCCTGAACAATTACATGTGCAAGGGTGGTGGAAGGATGATCAACTTGTTGCTCAGACTTCGGGTCCTCGGAACGATATGGTATTGTTTGATATGACTACTCAAGAGTGTAAGTTGTTGATACCCAATTGCATGCTCGAGCGCTGGAATGTCTACAAAGAAAGTTTGTTCCGCATTGAATGATAAAATACATGCAGCTATTTTCTTTTGAATATTGGCAATGTCGGCCCTTTTCCTGTAACTATTGGGTTCTAATAAGTTAAATCGCGAGTATATCTTTGCCTTAGTACGTTCATGTGGAGTGTTCTCTCTGTTATGTGACTATTTTGGTCCATCCCTTTGTTTCTCTATGGATTTGGATGGGTTGATGAATTATTATATTATCTGTTACATTTTTTCATATAACAATAGTTTGTTCATCTTGTATGTTTTGTGTTTGACCAAGGTATATATTTTGCATTGAATACTTATTAGTACCATTGAACTAACATTTACTTGTAGTTATAGTCATGTAATTTCTTTGAAATTGATATTTGAATTTTGTGATGTATTGTGAAAGGTTTTACTTCGGATTTATAACATGAATGGTTTTCTAAGAGATTATCAGGTTGAGTAGGAATTGATTTGTGAATGAATTTTTATTGAGAATTGTAGTAATAGTTTTTGGACGAGTTTTTATTTATTGTGATTACAGGCCCAAAGAATGAGAACTCTACTTTTAGCAACCATTAGGCACATTAGTGACATAAGCATCGTTGCGAAGATTGGGTGGCTTTAAACCTTCAAGGAATTTGTGACCCATTGAAAAGTATTGGGGACGAATCATGAAGTCAATAAAGATAATAATACCGTGGTGATTAATTTTACTTTCTACTGGTCAATTTGGCGATCCATCTTATGAGTTTTACTAGCGACCAATTTATTGTCGATTTTTAATCCACATTAAACTTCATTGTCGATCAATCATGAAATAAAAATATTTAGTGTCGACTAATCTGTCGCTGGTTATGATTGACCGTTGACATATACTTACCATCGGTTAAAACGGACACAAAATTGAAAAATTAAGTGATGCATCTAAATGAATATGCGATAGGAACATGAAATCATATATGCCCTAATCCCAAGTGCATATAAGGTTGGACAATCGGTTCTCGGTTAGCGGTTAATTGATCGGTTACAACCAAAACCGGTCAGTTATCCACTAACCAAAAACCTGAATAACCGAAAGTCGGTCGATGTTCGGAGGCTGGGTGAGATAGTTTCGGCTTTGGTCTTTGAAGGTGGTTCGGTTAACCGAAGCTTTGAGCCCTCTTTCGGTCGGTGATTGGTAGGTTTGGGAGCTGTTTTGGTTAACCGTTAACCAAAAATTTGGTTTTTGGTTAAACCGAAACTGACCGATCTCCAGCCCTAAGTGCATACATAAAAGAACCTCCTACCGAAACCTAAACTGATAGGCTGTTTTTAATGGTATGAAACGGTTGAACCATGATTTCAACACAAAATATCATATTGGCTACTACTCTTTAAGAAGAAGAGTGTGGGAGGGTTCGAATCCTTTTCCTGGTAAGATGATGAACTGACGCTCTCGGTTCGGGAGTTGCTTGTAGCTCACAAGCGAGAGAACGACGTTGGTGTCGATAAACCTTTAGTTTTATTATTCGATAAACCGGACTACCACAGAACTTACATATTTATTGAATAGAAAATCTAATATGCAACCCTAATGCTACCCGAAAACCCATTCCTACTTGGCTACCCTTACCGTGCCGCCTACGAAAACGCAAACTCAAAAGGAAACCAACAACACCTACTAGCCCTAAGCCCAATCCGAAAAGTTCACTCATCAATCCTTCACCCTCAAAATCAACCTTGTCCCCAAGGTTGACCCTCAAAGCCTTCTTCTTCGAACAAGCACGCGTTACTACACTTGTGCCCGATGGTGAACCGCTCGTCGCAGTTGAAGCACAACCCTTGAACTTGACGAAGCTGTTGCTCCTCCCAACTCAAACGCTTACCGCCCGGTAGGGATGGCAATTACCCACCCATGGGTAATTATACCCAAACTCAAGTAGACCCATTGATAATGGGTTGGGTATGGGTGAAGTGCATATGAGTTTGGGGGTTTGTAGATAGGTTGGTTATGGGTATGGTATGGATATTGCTTACATAATCTAAATGGGTATGGGTTGGATATGGATATCCATTTACTTGAGGGTGTTTTAACTACACATGCAAAATTAGACCTATTTCTAAAACTTGAAAAGTATAGGTACCAAAATGTAAGACCAAAAATTTTTAGGTACTAAAATTTAATTTTCCATCAATACTTTGAGTACTAAATATGAACAAAAATTGAATTTAGGTACTAAATATGCATATCTATTAAGTTTAGGTACCAAACTGTAATTTGCATTTGGGCATGGGTACAAACCCAAATCCATTTTTTATAAACCCAACCCAAGTAAATGGGTATAGGTACAAACCCATCAAACTCTACCCATATCCATCTATTTGGATTTCATACCCAACCTAATTGGGTTGGATAGTAAAAAACCCATGGGTATGGGCAAAATTGCCATCACTACAGTCTGGAGGCCGGCGAGGACGTCCTATATCACCCGAAGGCCCCGCAGTGGCCACCCTCTGCCCATACGCACCGTCGCCGCCACCATATCCACCTGCCCCAGTACCTGCCTGTGGCGCCACCCGACCAGTCGGTTTATGACGCTGCAGCTGGTCGCTCTTCATTCTTGCCAAACTGATCGCATCCCACAAGGTTTGAGGGCGAAACATTCGAATTTCGTCTGCAATTTCTGCCTTCAATCCGCCCAAATACGTCCCCACCAGCGCCTGTTGCATCCAACCGACACAATAATTAGCAAGCTTCTCAAACTCGGTAGTCGAGCAAAGAACCAGTTTGGCGTATATGAAAAAGTGCCTCGTCACAGCTCTCGCCCTCAGTCGGACCGAAACGTGCCCACAGCTCCTAGGAAAATGCTTCCCATGTAATCGGCTCCCCAGCGTCCTTGTATGTCCGCTTCACCCACTGCCACCAATGACTGGCCTCTCCTTATGGTTGGAATGAAGCCAACCCGACACGCTGCTCTCCTGGCACCTCGTGATGCTAAAAAAATTGTTCAACGCGTGGAAACCACGCACCTGGGTCGTCGCTAGTGAACTTTGGAAACTCTAGCCTCGCGAGCTTGGAGGAAAAAGGCGTCGCTGGTGTTGTCCCCTTTTGTGCCAGTGTCCCCGCTGCCGCGCGACTTGCTCTCATCCCCACCAGCTTTTGTCCGTCGGAAGCCATTGTCCCCCGTCGAGCCGGTCAAGCAACGCTCGCCAAACAATCTCGCGCCAGTCGTGGCCTCCAGCCGCGCCAGTCGTGGCCTCCAGCCGCGCCAGTCGATCCGTCCTTGCTGCCATTAATATCATGACATTCTCATCCGTCTGTGCCATTCGCTCGAGCATCCCCGTCACATTGGTCTGGAGGGACTGCATTGCCGCCTTCGTCTGTGCCGCCTGCGCCTCCAGCCATTCGCCCTGTGCCACCAAGCAGCCCTCGGTGGTGGCCTCCAACGCCGAACAATGTTCAGTAGCTGATCCCCCCATTGCCGTGGAAGCCACAGACTCTGATACTACTAATTAACCGACGCTTTCAGTTCGAGCGTTGCTTGTAGGTCACAAGCGAGAGAACGACGTTGGTGTCGATAAACCTTTAGTTTTATTATTCGATAAGCCGGACTACCCGAAAAACCCATTCCTACTCGGCTACCCTTACCGTGCCACCTCCCAAAGGAAACCAATAACAACTACTAGCCCTAAGCCGAATCCGAAAAATCCACTCATCATATGACTCGGGAATCTCTGTCAGGATAGGATTCGTTGTCTGAATAAGCTCTCTTTTTGCTTGAAGGATGATCAAGGAGACAAACAACCAACCTTCTATAAATTAACAGCGCTGACAAACGAATTTTTCTCTTGGCAGAGTTGTTGGATACACTCTAGCTGGTGTTTGCACAATCAATCAAGTGGCCGCCATGGACGAGGATTCTGCTTCCACCATCGGCAAGCGCCAGCTGCCGAGTTCTTCTTCCATCGAAGAAGAATTAGATGTAGAATCGAATTGTTTCCCTTCCAACATCGTAATTGCAATTCTGTCTCGGCTACCCGTGAAAGCTCTATTCCGGTTCAAGTCCGTTTTGTTAGAAACAAAGTTCCTACCGGGTATTCGTATCGGGTGGATATTTGGAAATTTAGGGATTAGAAAGATATAATTAGGAATTGAGAAGAGAATTGGGGAAGAACAGAGAAAGAATGGCCAGAGGCCAGGTTAGGGAGAGAAGAGAGTCTGAGCGAATAGGAGAGATTAGGGTTTAGGAGATTCTTCGATAACTCTTTCTTAACTGATTACCAATGAATCATAAAGTACATATTTATAGGGAATATTGGGAAACCCTACTAATAAACCTAACTCTACTAAAAGACTACTGACCTTATTGATTATTACCCTAATAATAATTATAATAATGAATAGAGAAACCCTACAGAAAACGGTTTTTAACATATCCTTCCCCTTCAGACCAACCTTGCCCTCAAGGTTGACCAACTTGGCCCACTCTTTCATCCTTCTCGTGCGATCAATGCATCGCTTGCTCCGTGTCGTGCGCTTCCTTTTCTTCCAATCATGCTCCAACTCTGGTCTTGGGCTTCTTGCTTCGAACTCCTAATGTTGCGGTAAAGTTGTGAGCTTCAATTCTTATGTCCAATCCTCGCGTACTCTTACTTCAATAATTATGTATGTGGTCATCGTCCTCCAGCAACTCAAGGATTTGTTCTTGTTCAAGAAACTATTTTTAAGTACCAATTCATCAAGGCCCTCGAAAAGTTTTCTTGATGCTAGCCCACTAGCTTGGTCTATGGTTTCTTCAATTTGCATTGATTCATGCCTTCTCTTAAGCCTACTTCCTCCTTTCTTTAAATTATCTCCCTGCAAAATAGGTCCAATAAAACAGACCACGTGAAAGCTCAGCCTAGCCTTACCAAGAACCCAGCCGGTTCCGTTGTCATTTGGCCCACAAATAAGCTTTTGCTTAACCCAACTGACCCAAAACCTTGTCATGTCTTCCTGATCCCTTCGACCCAAGGAAAGCCCACTTTTCCGGCCAGCTTTCGACCCGCTC